CACAGAGAAGAGAGCTGGCAGCTATCAGGCTTATGGACAGAGCTGATGGAGAGGATCTGGGGTCCACAGAATCTGTACTGGGGTAAGGACATCCCACCACACAGAGACGGAAACAGCCAGCCTGATTTTCAGGGGACGGAGCACACATGAGCAGCCAGCCTGACTTTCGGGGCTCGGGACCCAGAGCAGCAGCTCTCTCCCACAGGGGTGCTCCCACCCCCACGCTCTCACAGCCAGCCCACCCAGGAGCGTCCTCCCAGACAGCAGGTCCTTCACATGCTAATGAGCAGCCCCCCGGGACAGAGGACAGAGGGCGGTGGCTATTGTTACGCCACCTGCACAGCGCGGGGCGGCTCTGGGGTGTTGGAGGGGTTACAGGGGGTTCTCAAGAAAGGAGAAGAAGTCCTCCTGAGCTCTCTACCCCTTCACTCCTCTCCCTCTGTGCTTCCAAACCTCCGCCTATCTCCTCTCCCTTCACTCCATGCTCTGTTCCTGCTCCTCCTCTCCCCCACTGTCTCTACCTCTTGACAAATGGGCTGATTATTCCGAACAGATTGATGCTCCTTTTCAGCTCGACCCCTTGACCCCTGCACTCTCCCTCCCCCTCCCTCCCAGCACAGCACACTTTGCAACACAATGGCAGCACCCTGCCTCCTGTGTTTCTCCCATCCTGCTCCTATTAACACAACAACAACACCCTGTGCTCCTCACACTCCTCACGCTGCTGAGAGAGAGGAGAGAGGGATAGACTGAGAGAGAGGAGGAGAGAGAGACAGGTCTTCCAGAAGGAAGCCAGACCTCAGGAAACAAATACCACAACACCACACTGAAGCACACATCCAGCTACACATACCTCAGTCTGACTCTTAGCTCATCTGGGAGTTTTGATCTGGCAATGAAGGCACTGAGGGAGAAGGCACTCAGGGCTTTCTACGCAATAAGAAGGAGGCTTTTCAACATCAACCCACCAATGAGAATCTGTCTCCAAATATTTGAAAGTGTAATCCAACCCATGGACCTACAGTATATGGCAGTGAAGTGTGGGGTCTCCTCACAGACCAAGATTACACCCAATGGGACAAACACCCCACAGAAACTCTGCACATGGAGATCTGTAGAAACATCCTCCGTGTGCAGAGAAAAACACCTAACAATGAGTGCAGGGCCGAATTAGGCCAGTACTCACTATTGATAAACATACAGAAAAGAGTAGTAAAGTATTGGCTACACCTAAAAAACAGCGACCACAATTCCTACCACCACAAACCCCTAAAACAGACCCCCCTGAGCCAGCTGGTCCTGAGGCTCACTGACCTGAGCCACACCGACACCAGCCAACCTCAGGACAGCACTGCTAGAGCACCACAACTCAGACCCAAGCACATCACAGCACAGATCAAACAGCAATATCTCACACACTGGGACACACACACAAACACAACATAAACTGGAATGCTACAGAACCCTAAAGAGACAATACACACTAGCTGAATATCTAACCGAGATAAATAACAGCCAACAGAAACAGACCCTGACGAAGTACAGGCTCAGTGACCACAGCCTCGCCATAGAAACTGGGCGACACAGGCAGACCTGGCTGCCCAGAGAGTACAGGCTGTGCTCCCACTGCCAGCGGGGAGAAACAGAGACAGAGGTGCACTTTCTACTGCACTGTGACAGATACTCTGGGATCCCAGTATTCCCGCACCTTCCAGAATCACAATGGGTCCCAATCCTACTGGGAGAGGGAGGAGGGAACTTTGTTGAACTGGCAGCCCAGTACTGTATGTGATCTCCTGTCACAGCCTGAGGAACAGTGAGCTTCTCTCAATAATGCTCCATATTTTTATATGTAAATGTATTATGATGTGTCTATATTGGGAATGTCTGTAGATTTTATGTTAATTGTATTTGTTTTGCTTTCGCAACACTGATTTATTAATTCGTCATGCCAATACAGCACCTTGAATTGAATTGAGGAGAGAGACAGACTGAGAGAGAGGAGGAGAGGAGAGGGATGGACTGAGAGAGAGGAGGAGAGGGGAGAGACAGACTGAGAGAGAGGAGGAGAGGAGAGACAGACTGAGAGAGAGGTGGAGAAGAGAAGGATGGACTGAGAGAGAGGAGAGGAGAGAGACAGATTGAGAGAGACAGAGGGAGAGATTTGGAGGTCCAGCACTTCTGGCTGTATCAAACTGCAGCTCTGGGCTGTATATGGGTTGCTGTGTGCTGGAAACTGGGGTCCGCACGAGGCCTTGGGGTACTGGCCAGCCAGCTCCACTGACCTGCCGTCCCGAACTCACTCTGGTCCGTCCCGGACACGCGGACACACTCACCTCTCCGCGGGCCAGCAGGTCCGGCGCTGTCGGGGCTGGCTGTCCGGCGCCCCCTCTTGGCTGCGTCCAGCAGGCCCTCCATCCCGCTGTCGTCCCTCTGCCGCCGGTCTCTCTCTCGGGCGCGGCGCTGGGGCGGGGGGCGCTCCTCGGGAGGGGTGCAGGGGGGTGCGGGGGACCCCAGCCTCTTGTTGGTGCTCATGGTGGCGGCCAGGGCGGCGGCGTAGGCGCTGGAGAGGCGCTCCATCCCCTCGGGGAACGAGAGCGAGGGGTGGGGGGCCGGGGAGTGGGAGAACGGGGGCAGGGCTGGGAACCCCCCCAGCGTGGGGTGTCGGAAACCAGAGTGGCCAGGGGGGTGAGCCGGAGGGAAGGACAGGTAGTCTTGGGGGCCAGGATGGGGGTATAGGGGTCCCAGGGAGTATGACCCCCCACTCAAGAAGGGGACTGAGCTCTCTACTGTCACTGGGACCCCAAAACCCCGGGTATGGGGTGCAGGAGGCTGTTTGTGCTGTTTCGGGGAGGAGGTCTGGGTCAGGCAGGATAGGGAGCTCAGGAGCCCCGCAGACTTGTCCATCTCTACACAACACAGCACAGGAGCTACACAACCAGACACAACACAACAGGGGCAGCACCACACAGCAAAGCACCGCCGCACAAGAGAGCTACACTGTGCAACACACACACTTGAAGGTACACAACTACGCAGCACACAACAGCACAAAGCTGGCCAAGACACCACGAAGCACAGCAGCACGTCTGGATGGCTGGTCGCAGAAGAACTGGGGCTGAAAGACACACCGTCTGCCTCTGTACAGAGAAAGACAAACACAAAACAAGCATCACAAACACATCCGACTTGCTGACACACTGTCACCATCACCATCACCACTATCATCACTATCATGAGCATCATCAATCACCACCATCATCACTATCACCATCACCATCATCATTGTCATCACTATCATCACCATCATCTTCATCTCTATCACCATCATCACTATCATTGGCATCACTATCAGCATCATCACCATGACCATAACCACCATCATCATCCTCCTCAGATCTGTAGAGACACTCAGTCCAGCTCCTCTGTATCTTCACATTAACACTCTGTCATCATCAGATTTATGGAAAGTTAATTCTTTACAATCACAGGAATCTCTTTATATTCCCAGGGCTGTATAGAGCTATATCCTTTTTTCCAAAGTTCGACTGCTGCTCAGAATTCTCCATGTGTCAGGAGCGTGGTGATGATGAAGACTGCTCCTCACCCTCTCTGTGCCCACGGCTCACCCTCTCAGGAGAGAAATGAAGACACACACAGTCTCTCACTTACCTTGCGTCTCTGTCTCGAGATGACAAAGGACTGAGAGAGGAGGAGAGAGCAGAGAGGCTTTTAAGGGCTGAATTCAAACTTCAGTGAGCCTCTGCCCCTCCCCCACTCCTTTCTCTCCCTCTGTCCATCTGTAGAAACTCCCACTCCTCCCACACTCCTCCCTCTCTCACTCTTCTCCCTCACTCTGTCCATCTGTAACAATCTCTCACTCCTCTCTCACTCCTTTAACACTCTGTTCTTCTATAACTATCTCTCACACCTTTCTAATTCCATGAATCTGTAGCAATCTATCACTCCCCTGCACATTAATACATTGACACAGAAACAGGCAGGAACATTACACACCTTTCCTGAAGATTACAGAGCACTAAACGTCCTCAGTCTAAAACACAGACCACAGGGGGACCTGGCACAATTGTTCAATCACCTCAAGGGCATTGACAGTCAACCCAGTGGACTTCTTCACGATCAACAGTGAAACACCCCAAAGGACACAGGAGGATTTGCAACTTGTAAGTGTAATTCTGAGAACAGGGGGCACTTCTTTACACAACGAGTGGTGGGAGTGTGGAACAAGCCGCCCAGCCATGTTTTGGAAGCTGATTTCAGGAAAGGGCTGGAAAAGATCCCAGATCAATTAGCTACTAGATATTGATTGAGCTGGATGAGTTGGATGGCATCCTCCTTTTTTTAGGTCTAATGATCAGGCTTTAGCAATTAAAATAGATCTCTGCCTGTGGTCATTTTAGGTCAGCTAAAGCTGTTGCACTGAACACTCACAAAGGCACCAAAGTGGCTGTTTTGAAGGAACAAGCAGAAAGGAATAAAAAAACTGATGTTGTTACACTGCCTCGCCAACCAGAGGGATGCTCATGTCCTCTGAAGAGAGGGGAGACAGAGCCCCCTGCAGGAGAACTGAGGTATATTACTCACTACTGACTGCCACTAGTGCACATTTATGTCTGGATCACACCCCACAGCTACAATGCAATGTCACTTTCATTATGCTGTATTACACTGTACTGTACCAACCTGCAATCTCACAGTGTAACTGTACTGTACAACATTGTTTTGTACTACACTGTATTGTACTGCACTCTCACTGTCACTGTACTGTTCTACACTGGTACTGTACTACAATTGTACCAACCTGCAATCTCACAGTGTAACTGTACTGTACAACATTGTTCTGTACTGCACTGTACTGAACTGCAATCTCACTGTCACTGTACTGTTCTACACTGGTACTGTACTACAACTGTACTGTACCAACCTGCAATCTAACAGTGTAA